TCATGCAATTACGTAACAGATATGAATGAAACCTATTTACTCGTTAGGTAGTATATTAAATACATTTCAACTTTTTCGGAGTTGGCGTAAAATTAAAAATACTTCAGTAAACGTTGCTGCCAATAATCAGTTGATTGAGTTTCATGAAAAAATAGTAAGTGTTCGGTAATCGGTGAATGGGACTCGGGAAATCGGGGGTGTTTCAATAACCCGTTCAAATAAATTTTACACTGTTTATTCAACAAAAAAAAACACAAAACGAAACTGAACACATTACACGCACACTGAACGATGACGATACGAAGAAATAATTCGAAAAGTATAATAAAAATGGAATGTTCGGTTTCGCGCACCGCGTATTTACTACTCGGATTATCACGTCTGGTATTGACAAAGGTTGGCTTTGTACTCTCGTTCGCGAGGGTCGGGCGATCACCTAAATTCGGGAATCAGCGGTAAGTGTCGTCATCACGGCCCAATCAGCTGTTGCTTATTAGACGTGACGACAACGGGAACCAATAAATTTTATATCGGAAACGGGGGGGTTCTCGGTGTCTCTCGATCCTTCGAGAACGCACCGAAAGAGATCTTCCGGCGCGTCCGAGAGGACGAGAGACAGAAAACTTCACGGTTGGGATTTGAATTTAGGGATCGCCCTCTCCTACTTGCCTAGGTATGGAACAGTAAGAAATAAGAAAGTTACAATCTTTTCCTTTGCTTGCATTAGTGTGTGTCTCACCGATATTTTTACCTCATTATTTTTATCTTATTGCAGATGAACAGGCGACAGAGGAGGCGGCTGGCGTCCGCGTTGCGGCGGGCGGCAAATTAGGTGCCGCGGCCACCCCCTGATCGCCGCCATCCACTGGGACGGGGCGGTCGATAGGGACGGGGACGGGGCATCCCCGTCATCCCGTATATACATTCTAAATATTTTTCAATAAATTCATATAACTAATTACGTCTACATTATTTGCACGTGTACCTTCCCTTAGAATTAAGTTGCTAGAAATAAGTAGAAAATAAATATAAAAATACAGGCTAACCTAACCGGAATTGAAGTAATTTTAAATAGATTCGCATTAATAATTAATAAAAATGATATATTAGGTAAAGTAATAAAATTCATTTATTAATTAATTTTACGTCGTAGTCGGTTATGTGTCGGAACGTAAGACACTTTTCCAAGTAAAAAATTGGCTGACAGGTTAGGAGTCCTGCCACGTAATCTCTGCATCTTCTTTGTCGCAGGTTCGAGTCCGCTGGACTATGGTTTTTTCCATGTTACGTTTTTCATTTTTTATTATTATTTTTATGGTGCTACTTCGTTAACTTATTAGTATGTTAATTTCATTGATTGTTTGTTATAATTTCCTATCCGTTCAAAAAGAAATAATTATATATCATAGAAAAGATCGGGAAAATTGTTAAAAAAACATAAAACATAACTAATTTATTAGATATTATTTCTGGAATTAATATTTTGTGTTTGCACATGATACATTTGAAAAGAAAATATCATGATACGATTGTTGTCATCTATTAGTTTTGATGCAAACTGTTTTTTAATGGTGGGCCCTTTTAGCGGTACCCTCTGGGGTGCTATCGGTACCCTCTGGGGTGCCATATGTATGTATGTATGTACGTACAGCCAGGCCCGAACCCAGTCAGCACCAAGGAGCGCGATATCCCAGCGTCCATGTTGTTATTCAAACGGTTCGGATGTATTGAATTACGCGAGCCAAAACGCCTCTGCGAAGAAGTAATACACTGCTCAAAAGAAATATGGCATAGAAAAATTTTAGGCAAAAATTGGTCAAATTTGACTGATGATAACTCCGTGAAAAATTATCGCAAAGTTATGCTCTTTTTTTTAAATTAAAGCTTGTGATCTCTACTTTAAGACCCCGTAGTTCCATTTTAGATTTGATGCATCACTACCACAATAACATCGTAAATGTGAGGTCATGTTTGCAATATTGAAAATTACAAAGTTTGACGAAATGCATGGACTTGCCACATTTTTTTTTTTGTGATACTGTTTCAGGCAGTATAAAGTACAAACCTTCATCTTTAATTTGCAGTATGTGAAAAGCCGCTACTATTTTTTCCCGCAAAGATACAGAACTTTAAAGAAACCCTTGCATTTATGGCATATACCGCTGGCATTAGCATTACCCGATATGTACCTCGGAGAGGTTGCTGGACAGATTTTGCACATCATATGGATCTGACAAGAGCCTTTTTTGTGTGTATTTGTGTGTGAGTATCTGTGTGTGTGTATGTTTGACTTTACCCGATATGCACCTCGGAGAGGTTGCTGGACAGATTTTGCTTATCATATGGCTCTGACAAGAGCCTTTTTTTGTGTATATTTGCGTGTGAGTATCTGTGTGTGTCAAAAAGTAGTTATTCTTTTATTACGCTTTATTTAGTAGCAAATAT